CAGAAATGGGTAAATCATTTTACACACCAAAATCCAAGATTCTGACCCTGGTGAATATGAGCAGGACATCTACCATTGCCATCTCTCCTCATTTCTGTTCAATCCTAAAGTTCTGAGACTTTTTGAACCTCAGGATGTTTAATTAAGGGCAAACCACACAGACTTCCACCTAGAAAATGGACTGACGCCTCACAGATTTCAGTGTTCATAAACTTGACAGGATTGCCATATTGAAAACTCCTCCTTTTGGCCATCAGAACTGTCCTTCAGAGACTGGGCTTGTCTCTCCAAAGATGAAAAATGACTGGGAGCATAACCAAGCTCAGACTAGATTTGACTCACAGCCTCAGTCCCACTCCTTTATTTTTAGGTCTTAGAGTTGTTCTTTCCACACTCCGTTCAGAGATGAAACTGAACAGACAGTGGTTTGAGTTCACCATCTTCTCAAAGACAGTCTTAGCTTATATTTGACGTGAAATTTGTCTTTTGTAAACTACCTGCCTCCACCAGTCAGTGAATGAAGATTTCTCGGGAGTCTGTAGGGAATCGAACCTAGCACAACCCAGAATCCTGGAGGCATGTCAGCAGCCCCCCTGTGCTGCAGAGTCCAAGGCAGTGTCGTCCCATCTTTGTGGGGACCTCAAGCAGCTCAAGCTCCATCTTGCAGTTCTGCAGTGCAGAGGTCCTGGAGGCATCAAGACCTTCATCTGAACGGAGTAAGTAAAGGAAGACCCAGAGGTTCTGTGGCTGGTAACAGTTCCAGGAACCTCTTTAACACTCCCTGCAGCTCATCCGTCAGCCCCAGATGGAAAGGCACATTCACTCCCCAGATCTATAGGTAGCGATTCAGCAGAGACTCTCCTGATTTCCAGGCAGTAGTTTTCTCTGTCAGCTCAATAAAATGTGATTGGTTGCAGACAGAATCTGTCCAAGTCATTTGGAAAGGCAATGGCCTTTGTTACAAAGGGGCACGAAAACATGATGCCAGAAAAAGAGCAACAAAGAAGGAACCTTGGGGAATTGTGCTTAGCCCTGTCTTGTGCTGTCCAGCTTCTTTATGTCAGACGTGATCTGGAGAGGGCAGTTAGAAAAAAAGGGGGAAGGTAGCTGAATGCAGCTTAATAATGACACAAACTGCTGCAGGAGCGTCAGAAAGCTCTTTAAAATGCAAAACTTCCTGCTGCTGTGCTACGCAGAATGGAAAAAACCATCACTTGAAGGTGGTGGCTAAGCAGGTTTCCCCTTCATCATCTCTCATTCCTCCAGATGCCAAAGATAAAAAGCACTGTCAGAGAGAAGATGTTTTCGTAGTCGAGGCGTAAATGCTGCAGATGAGAGGCAGATCCCTGTCAGTCTCCAGCTTCCATGGCAAGCTCCCTTGGGCAGTGTGGGCAGGACTCACAAGCGAGCGCTGGCCGTTGCACTGCTCAGCGACCTCCCAGAGACATTGCAACCCCGGAGGAAAGCAGAGGGGTACTTTCATCGAAAATGCTTAAATGCACACACCTTTTTAATTCACAGAATTTGAGTTCTGATATAAGCCAGTTTAATTTCTTTTTCTAATCACCTGTCCATCCTTCCGCCGTGATTCCACATGACACAGGTTTAGGTGGTCCTTGACAGTCCTGTGTTTCCATCTCTCCTGACCCCATGTAAGAACAGACCTAAACAGTTTTGCCAGGTCTGTTGAGTAACCCCTACCCTTTCTCGTGAGGGACGTTAGCAAGTCGGACCTTCCCTGGGCCTTGCTGCTGTTGTAGCGAACCAGTATGTGTGGTTTTGTTCTCCAAGGCTGAGAAATCCTTCAGATTTATCTTGTGAGTGACCCTGCGTGAGACAAGGGCCAGGGAAGCAAACCCGCTAGCTTGCTGTAGTCAGGCTCAGCCGAGCTGTGTTGCCTACCGAAGCTGTAGGCTATGGAATAGCTTCCATGGCACGTTCCATGAGCAGAATCCTTACTCTGTACATGCGGAGAGCTCAGTCCCTGTGGATTAGGCACTGGGATGCTTTCTCCCTTTCGTCCCCGCATGGCAGTGGCTGGGAGGTCTGCGGCCTTTCTTTGTCAGAAGCAATGGGTGTTGCTTCGGGAGCGGGTGCCCGGAGGATGCGTACGGTGGTACGATGCAACGAAGCTTTGCTCCTGCACTCGTGGGGTACCTCTTTGTCAGGAATACAGAAAGAGCTTGTGTAAGGACATTAGCAGGGCTCATACTTGGTGAAGAGAGGAATGTTCTTCTCCGTGCAGCTCATAAAGACCTGCCACTACTGCTGATGCGTGCCCAGTGATAAATATCAACCCATAGCAATTCCAAAGGCTGCATGGTAGCTACAGCAGCCGCCTCCTTAGGATGCTGTATGTATTTGGTTAGCCATTTGTTTGTCGCATACCCGTGAAGGCATATAGCAACTTTACAAATACAGATGGAGATTGGATCTCAGCCCAGAACCATTTAGGAATTGCAGTTTTGCTACTATTGTTATTGTGTTTTTTCCCTGATAGTCGCATTTGTTCTGTTACTGACAACACTGGGCTTTAGACAATATTAAATCATACATCTCGGCCAGACCTGGTCAGTCTGGAGCTGAGTGTGTTACCAGAAATGTTTTGTCAGCGTGTGCATGTGGTTTACTATGAGCATAAACAAGCAGCTTGTACAGCTAACTGGGGAAGTTCCTTCATTTGCCTTTGGGATGAACTCCAGAGAAAGGAACAGGGTGGAACCAGTTGCAGGATGGCAGTAGCTGCTGCTCCAAGCAGGATTAAATTATGTCTCATTGACAAGGCTCCCAAAAGCTTCTCCTGAGAGGAAGGCAGGGTGAAAGAACGAAGAGCTGTATCTGATCTGCTCACACAAGTGCTCCAGACCTGGGCTCTTCTCCCCCAGGCACACTCCCTGCTGCCCTTTGGGTCCAGAAGTGGTTCTGGGCTCCAGTGCCATTCGGACTGTTCCTGACCTGGTTGTGTTGCTTACAGCTGTGGGGGAAAATGGACAGTGGGGTTGAGTTGGCTTTCCTGAGGTTACAGAGGAAGACAGAGAGTCTGTGTCAGCCAGGGCTTCCTTGTTCCCTGACCGTCCCTGAGGACGTGGTGCCGTAGGTAACTCACGTGTGGTATGGTGTTTAGAGGTGAATTACTCTCATCTCCAGCCATCTGAGAATTAGGTACCTGCTCTGACGTCAGACACTGGCAGCTCAGGTTCAGGAGCTGATCCCCCCACATGTCCTGGTGGGTCCATACAGCTCTGGGCAGAGACGGCTCCGTGGTCAGGAAGCCAAGGTGGTGCCTCCTGATGTGCAGCTCCTGCTTCTGTGCGGTTGGTGTTGTTTTCATGAGAAACACCTTGGTGATGCTCCACCTCCTGGGGTGAAGCCGGTGCAGGGCACCACAGCGAGCAGGAGCCGCCCATCCAGGGAACAGTTGTGAATCGCTGCGTGGTGTTACGTGTTGCGTTAACCCCCTCTGCCCCATAGTGCGCGTGGGTTCGACCAGAGAGTCCTTCTGAAACGGCTGGTGGGAACTGCACCCTTTCTGCGTTGCCATTAATACGTGAAGATAGGGCGTGCCCTTCGCAGGGATGGAGCGGAGACGTTTCTGACACCTGCAGTCTTCGAAACCTGTCCTGGGTGGTCTGAGGGAGCCGCTGAGCAGAGCCGTGGGTCAGGTATTGTGGTACTGGGCACTGCTGTCGGTCACAGAGCCCAGAAACAGCGTCACCCTCCTGGGGAGCGAGCCGTGGAAAGGTTTGTGTTGCGCTCTCCGCTGTTTCCGTTTGCTGTCTCGCCATCAGGTCTTGGCCCAGAATGCGAGCGGTGCCTAACCCAGCAGAGGGTACAAACGGGGGTGTCAAACGCCTGTTCCATTAGCCTGGGGACGTGTTTCCAGCTGATCATCTTCACTCGGATAACATGATACTGGGAGGGGGGTGGGGATAAAAGGAAGCAGATGGTAATAGAAATACATGTTCAGGTGGGGAGACGCGTGGCCGCTGCTAGCGCTGCTCGTTACGAGCTATGACATCGGATTCTGACGGGATGGAGCAAGAGCCGGGCGTAGAGTGAATTCCTGCAGCCAGAGCAGCTCACCGCGTAACGGAACAGCTCCCAGTGCCAGCCACTTAATTTATGATTAATGTGCCACGGGATTTCCCCCGACGTTTATGACACCTTTAGGAATAGATATGACAATGACTTTATCACATGGAGTCACTTCATACTGTCTGCATCCCTCTTAATGATTTATATATTCGGGAGTGATTTTATCACTGGTACTCAGTAACGTAATAAATGAGAAAACTCAATGGTCTGTAAATTACAACATTGATTAAAGAAGTGATTACTGGTATAACTCTGACATGAGTGTGGTAATGCTGGCTTATATTTCAGGACAGCATGTTAACGATATATCCACTGCAGCGTTCAGAAATGCTTTACAGCTTTAATCACAATGTAAACATTTATAAACAGATAATGTTTGTTGTGGAGGAAATGAGCAGAGTTCTGTTAGTCTGCAGTGGGTGAAATCCACTCCAGAGCCAGCTTCGCTTGGCAGACTGGAAGCAGCATTCCCCCCGATGAATGTTCTCAGCACGGCAGAGCTCGGTTTGCGGCTTGCCTCCGCTGAGACCCGTCTGGTTCCTTGGGCTCCTCTTGGCCAAGCCGGGAAGGAGCCTCGCTTGTGATAAATTCCACAGCACCGTGATCGCTGCCCAGCAAACAGAAAAGCAACCACCAGCTTCATAAACAGCATCCAGTCTTGAGGCACCTCCAGCATAATTATGCCCCTGAGCCAACGAAGGATTGTTGCATCCAGCTGCCCCCGTAGTAAAAGGCCATCGTGAACATGCATAAAGGGAACAGCCCTGTCTCGTGTGGCTTTGGTTTTGAGATGCCAGGGTTAGCTTTGAGCTTGTTTTGTCACAGAGATTACCTTTTCTTCTTTCTCTTCCTCTCCCCCTTAGGTTTCTGACAGATGTGACTATGTTTTTGTCAATGGCAAAGAGATGAAAGGCAAAGTGAATGCGCTCGTGAACTTCACCTATCAGTATCTGAGTGCTCCCCTGCAAATCACTGTCTGGGTTCCGCGCCTGCCTCTTCAGATCGACATTTCGGACACAGAACTGAGCCAGATAAAAGGCTGGCGTGTCCCTGTTCTCTCCAACAAGAGGTAGGTTCGAGCTGCTGTGTTTCTCGGGGTGTTTTTTCTGAAATGACTGGGGTTGATTTTAATTCCTGCAGAACAGCTGCAGCACCTGCACCCAAAACGCAGCTGTACGGGAATCCCCAGCTTTGCACCGGACATCTGCACCTAGGCGGAAGCCTTTGCAATCTGTGGGGGTTTGGCTTCTGCGCAGCAGAGCGCAGCGCGGAGCTCTGCTGAGATCTGCTCAGCATTGGTAAGGCACACAGCGTGGGTGAAGTACTACAGTCCGTTTGCTGGTCCTTCCGCGTGCTGGGTAGCTATGGGTCAGCAATGGTCCGAACACAGCTGAAGGGAGGGCTGCTGTCTGGGGGGTGCTCTCCCTCAGCACTCCGGTGATAGTTTTCACTAATGTTCTTGAAAACATCTCTTTATGCTTCATTTTCTTATGAAAAAAGACCCACTAGAGACAGTGACGATGAGGATGAAGACGAGCGGAAGGGAAGAGGATGCACTCTGCAGTACCAGCACGCCATGGTGCGAGTCCTCACGCAGTTTGTAGCTGAGGATTCCAGCCCCTGGGGGCAGCTGAGCTACCTGCTGGGCTCAGACTGGCAGTTCGACATCACAGACCTCGTGATGGATTTTATGAAGCTGGAGGATCCTCACGTTGCCAAGCTGCAGGAAGGCAGGATTTTGATCGGACGAGAAGTCGGAATGACAACGATGCAGGTACTGTGCTCCAAACTGCCACGTTCTGCCACCCCCATGGGGAGTCTGTATGGGCACAAATCCAGTGCAGTGTTCTGCTATCCTGAGGCAGGATAATTTCCCATTCTGTCCTGCGATCCAAGCCAGAGGTGGATGGAAGCATGCAGCATGGCCAGGAGCTGGAAGCCCCAGGGCCCGCCGAGAGGCACAGCTCGGTGAGAAGGCAGAGCTCTTGTCTCACCTGGGTGCAGAATACACCAGTCAGCTGGTGGGCACCACCTTGACTTTCTGACACTTTCAATCTTTAAATTGTGCCATGTGTCTCCTGACTTATTTAAACATTAATTCAGGGAAAAAAAATGCAACCTGGTTAATAACCCTGAAAGGCACAAGTGGCCAACACATATCCCAGTTCTGCCCCAGCTGAGTCCTTACCAAAGCCAGAGCAGAGAGTGAATATAGCTCATGTGGGCTGTAGGTACGAGATGGGGAAGGTGGAGAAGACAGTACATGCATGAACTAGCTACCCATAGTTCCCTAAAGATAGCAGTATGGCCCTCAGTTTATTAAAAGGAAGGATATCCTCCTACCTTCATGTTTCATCAGAAACAGAAGATAGAGAGAAAGAAAAATTTCCAGGCAAAGAGGTGGAGGACAAGTCCTGGATGTTCTAACCCCCCTTTGAAATGGCTGGGGAAAAAGTCTGATGAGCTCGTTGTCGTGGTTTAAGTGACTGAACCCAGCACACTCATCCATACTGGGATGCAGAATAACAGGGGAAGAAAGTTTTAAATCGTTCTAGTGAAACGATGCAAATAACACAGCTGAGACAGTACAGCCCTCGGTATTGGGTGCAACGTTCTCAGCCACAACCTCCCTACTGAGCGTGTTTCCGACCCTGCTAGTGAAATCAGACTGCTGTTTGAGGGTGCTCTGCCACTGCAGTTCTGTGCATGAAGCCTTGGGGACAAGAAGGGACATGGCCTTATGAAAGTGTTTCAATTGACCAGCTTTTTCTTATTTCTTTTGTGTCTCTCCAAAGGTTTTGTCTCCTCTGTCTGACTCCATCCTGGCAGAGAAGACCGTGACTGTGCTCGATGACAAAGTGACCATAACAGACCTTGGAGTCCAGCTGGTGGCTGGGCTTTCGCTCTTCCTTCAGCCAAGCGCAGCAAGCAGTCGGGCCATTGTGGCTACAACCGTCGCCCAAGAGCTGCTTCATACTCCTAAGCAGGTAGTGTTCTCTCCCTGTTTACTGTCGTTGCCTTTGGGACGGGCAGTGTTTTGTGACGTGCAGTACAGGTGATAACTCACAGACGCTGAAGTGTCGGGGTAGGACATGTCCATGTACTCCCTCTGGAATTTTCTCATTTCTTCCCTTCAAATATGGACTTAGTCTGCAGCAAAAGCTCTGACTGCACTGAAGTTCAGATTATTTCCATCTTTAACACCCTTTCTTTAGGTGATGCCTTGTCTGTTGTTCTCACAGCACAGGCAGTCTTTGGGCAGGGATCCTTGCCTGCTGCATGAGTGTGCCCTTGTTTTCCATGCTGGAGAGCACAGAGCTCTGTGTGTCACAGCAGTTTAGTAGTTCGAAGAGCTATAAACCAGAGGCAGAAGAGAGCCAAATAGATTTATTTTCCCTCCTGGAGTCACAGCAGGCTGCCAGGCTCCTCTCTCCTTTCATTTTTCGGATGGATCTGGGGGGTGTTGATTCAGTTCATGTGCTGATCCCACTTCGTCTAAGCCAGCAAATTTCCATCTCTGTAAAGGGAGCCTTTCGAGTGGCACATTTTGGGTCACAACCCGCATGGAAAAGAAGATTGGAGAACACCACTAGGTCGAGGCAAACAGTTGCTCTGGAACAGATTGAAAACAAGGGTCAGAAGCAGTGAACAAGCTGGATGTTCATTGCTCTTTCAGTCAGTTGATTTGAAGAGTGAGACCAGGGACCGCGCAATTAGCTCTGTCCACAGCTACTCCCCTCGCTGAAACTGTGCTTCACCTCCCATAGACAGGGAGATCTCAAGTCAAGTTTTATGGCCCATTTTCATGATTATTGCTACCTAATTTTCTGGAACATAAAAATAATTTAGATTGTTTTATAACTTAGTGACAGGAAAATGTCCCAACCAGAAGGCCAGGCTGCCCATCTGTTCCATTTACTGCATCCTGTAAACATAAGAGTCTTATGTAATTAACCCATTTCTACCCTTCTCCGGGGCTGACGATCCACATCTGACGTAGTTTTGTCAGGGACTGTAAAAGCAGGAGCTGCAGCATGCCTGGCCCGATTCTCTTGTGCAAGACAGAGCACCTTTTCTCCTGCAGCATCACTGGGAGAGTCATGGTCTGATTGCAGATGAAAGAGCTTGTGAGCCTGGGAAGGTTGCACAGATGCGTTGCCAGCTTCTCGGATTTGTGGATGACTGGTCCCGAGTGTGCAGAGCCTTGGCAGCAGCGAGTTACGACAGGGCCTTGCGGCAGTGTGCCCCTGACATCTCCTAGTGTGCTGTGGCACGGCTCGTGATGTACCCCTGCAGTTGGCACGCTCTGAAACAATGCAGAAGGGTCAAAGTGTGTCAGCCTGGTTTGATTCGAAACTATTTTCCCCAGCATCTGTGTTATAGGACAATTTTAGTGAAATATTTTGTTGAAGCTGATGTTCTTTTGCAAGACCGTTTCCATGTCCTCAGAGTGGCACGTCTGGGATACACAAGTGACAGGGCATATTGGGTCCCTTTCTGGGCAATGCCTCCAGCTTCTGGTGCTGCTGTGAGATGCTGTTGACCCTGCTTTCCCTTCCCTGGGCCTGCAGACAGCACTACTGCCTCATGCTCACGGAACATACCGACTGTAAAATGGGAGGCAAGAGAAGATCAAGCACTCTTTTCTCAGTAAAAAAAGTTTAAAATTTGTTGTTTCTTCTCTAGACTCCATCTGGAAAAACCCAAGACCTAGACTTTATTAGAAGGCAGTGGAAAACCTTCTGTACATCAGGATCTGGGATGCCCAAAGAAATCTGGTTGCTTAGTAGCAATCCCAAATTAGTTTTTCGCACTCCTTCTATGCACGGCATCTTCTGTCCCAGTTTCCTGCAAACGTAGAGCAGCATGTTCTTGTGGAATCCCACTTCAGTCTCTGCCTCTCCTCCCAGCTCCTCTGGAGCCTGGCCACCCCCATTGCCTCTGCTTGCTTCCCACCACCTCCTCTTCACCAGGAGAAGGAGAAGCCTGCCTGCTTCCCAGCTGAAGGCTTTGCTGGGAGCATCACTCCTCACTTTGGAGAATCTGTGAGAGCTGGCTCCTCCTCCAGCCCAGTGAGTGTTTGCAGTCCTGATCCCAGTCCTGCTGGGTCACTGGGCACAGTCCCTAGCTATGGGCACCCTTCATCCCGGAGGCCTGAGACGACTCCACATGTCGTGCAACTCAATTCCTACTTTACTGTCAGCTGTTTGTTTGTCCTCAGCCTGCAGACAGGGCTTGCCCCAGGGAGGGCTGGTGGACAGACAACTCTGCATTTGCATCACCAAAAAAAGCAGTCTGGAGCAGATTTCACACTCGCAGATACACTGAGGGAATATTCTGAGCCTGGGAGTGGGCTGTGGAGTCCCACGCATCTTTCACTGCAGTCTGAGTGGAAGATGCAACACCGAAGTCACTTGCCCTCGGAGCAGTTGAAGTGTAGGAATGCTCCTGGGGGAGCTGGCCAGGCGTGAGCCGTGGTTCAGTGTACGACCTGAGACCCACTGAGCGGGGCCTGCCGTGGGAAGTGCGGAGTGTGAGTGAAAATCAGGCCCTTTTGAGAGAGGGTTGTTTTAGCTCAGAGTAAGCACATACTGGAATGTTGCAAGGACTTTGTTATCTGAGCGTGCCTTCTGCTCTCACACAAGTGTCTCAAACAGCCCAAATAACTCTGCAAACCTTACTGATGCACCCGAAAGAGAAGTAACGGTGAGGGTGGCTAAAGGTTTTGTTTTTCTCAGGAACGATTGTGTATGTCTCAGCATTGTTACATGGAAAAGACACTCAACGTGTGCTTAGTCCAATGTTTTCCTTGGCTCCGCTTTAGCACCTTCCATATCAAGCCTCAGGCGAGGTTAGCAGGTGTCCTTGGGTGATCAGTACCCCGGCAGGCACAGAATTGTCCCCAGCAGATTCCAGCAGTGCTACAGCACATCTTCCAGGATCCGAGCAGTGAGTTTAGTATTGCTGTGACTTTCTTTCCATGAATATAATGACTAGATTACTTCCTTGATTATAATGATGCACCATGTCTGCGTAAGTAGCACAAAGCAGCCAAAACACCAAGTCCTGGGAAGCTGGCAGTTTCTCCAAATACCGAGCAACCTGAAGAGGGTAAGCTATCATTTTTTCTCTTGGATGCCTTCAGTTAGATATCTTTATCTGCAGTTGGGCAACTAATTACCTGAGGTGACCTTGAGGGATGCTGAGCTCATGCTTCCTGTTTTTTTTTTTAAATCAGTGGGGAGCTCACTGGCACTGAAAAGTGGATCAATGGTTTAGGTGCCTAAAAATAAACACAGGTTGACCAACTTCAAAATATCAAAGTTGAAATGTCTCCTAAAAATTTGGAAACTGTAGCTGGGAGCAGCCAGTGTTCAGTGGCCACCTGCTCAGGCGGGAAATCTGTTAAGTCAACACTGCCATATTGAAGGCTTCCCAAAAAGGTAAATAAAAGAAAACCTACAGCGTCTACATGTTTTCTGCTCTGAGTGAGCTTCGAGGACTCTCAAGCTGGCGCTGCGGGGAAACGCAGCCGCATCATAGCCTTTTCACCACTGCAGGGTATTGCACGTGGTCCAACGAACTGAAATGGGAGAGGGGATAAAATAAGCATCTGTGTGTATCGATGCATCTCCGTGCCTCTGGAAAACTGCAGGCATCTTCTTAGGGGAAAACAGAGCGATGTTGGCGCTTTCTAACGGCCGAGTTCTTCCCTTTCGCGTGTGAAGCTCCTGCTGACACCGGTGACATCCCCAGCCCTGAGAGGTGACCGTACCCTCAGGGAGCATCCTCAGGATGTCAGCCCTCTCCCTGGCAGGAGGTGGGGGTGCTCAGCACCCCTGACTCAGGGCAACAAGCTGGAGCTGCTCTCACGTCCCTGCCTGGGGTTGGCACGGTACTGCCCTGTGCTGGGTTATGTCCTTCATGCAGACGAGTGCTGGGGCTCACCGACATCTCACAGAGAAGTAACAGCTCTTAGGAGTATTTCTGCGTGTGGATTCGTTGCCCCATTCTGGCAGTATGAATTACACTTAAATTGTAGTTATATCTTCTTTAACCTGACAGAGCAATGCAGTGGCTCACAACTATGACAAAGGAATTAAGCAGCATGGGAAGGGGAGAAAGGATGTGGTGTTAGATAAGAATCTGAATTCTTCCCTTGCAAATACAAGCAAATTCCCACTGGAAAGGAGTGTCACATTAGCGGATTGGACAAAAACGAGAGGAAGAAATACACAGTAGGGGAATGCATGGTTTGAATTAAGATCTGAGTCTTGGCTGCCTTTCAATCCCACATCATAATGATCAAGCCCAATTTTTACTACACAGCCACAGGCTTAAGAATAAATGCACATATAATACTTTGATATTTCATGTGATAAAATTGCTAGGGAGCCCCATTCCAGCATTCAAGTCCCCAGATAAAACAGTCAGAGCTGGTCTAATAGAAGCTGCTGAGAACAGTATTCCCTTGCCTTTACTGGAGGGAGGGGAGTGTTTGTTTTCTGCAGAGCCATCCAGCCACCCTTTTCTGTCCTGCGGGGTCCTGCCTCACTCCAGGACCATTGCAGCTGACCCCAGCACCTGAGGGCTTATTCACAACCACTTTTATTTGGGCTTTAGGGACTGAAGACCATTAAAAGGGCTTTTCATTCTGGGCACGGAGTAAAATCAAATATACCGATCAGACCTCACATCTGTGTTTGAAAGCAGCGGAAATCTTTACATTGCAACCGGTCCTACACACTTTACTCCCCTGCTTTTTGCTTGAAGAAAAGAAGATCGATGCCCTGGTGTCACGCTGAGCCCAGCTCTTTTGAGGAGGTTTTGAGGGACACTGTAATCGCTGACTGTGGGGCCTCAGATGGGCTCTGTGGAGCATCCTAAGATGAGCAGACTTTCAAACGCTGTAGGATGCCTCAGAGGGCAGAATAGCCATCGCTGTGCCTCCCAGATTTTCACAGGCAACCGGTGCGAGCCCCAGGCTGGTGGGACTCGTTAGCCCTCTGTATGATGGGCTTAGAGCTGGTTCGGAAGCGCAGCCCAGCATCCTGCACCCAGGTTGGCGTTGGGAGGGTGAGCCTCCGGTTTTGTCCAGCGCGAGCGGCCGTCGCCAGCCAACAGTCCTGCTGGTGGTGACTCGTGTGGCAGGGTTTGGCGTGTTCCAGGCCACAGAGCTCCTTGGGGACTGCTGGTTTCCACTAGTGCCATGTTACTTCTCTACCCTGGTAATTCCCCTTTTTACCCACCTAAACACAACACAGGGATAGCAGGGGGCCAGAACTACTAACCAAAAGCAAAATGTGAGTTTACCCAAGCAGATTATCAGGTGGCAACTCTGGCCAGCCTGCTGCTCGGGCGTGCAGTTACACTGGGGACAGAGGAGAACGGCAAAGGCACGGGGGGAAGCGTAGGCAAAATGTGTCTTGACAAAGGCACTTTTCCAGGAGCTTGGGGCTAGCATGACACTTGATAATCAACAGTGGTGGTGGGAAGCAGTGTCTTTATTGCCTCCGGGCTGGATTGTGCTGCCAGTAGACGTGATCCAACGTGCTGGGCTGACTCCACGTCAGCGCAGCCGCTGTGCGAGACGCCCAGTTCCCCCGGAGACACTGGCACTGATGGGTAGTTGTGGTTCGCTTGTTCTGGGAGCGCAGCTGGGAGGGGGTGTGTGCATGTGTGAAGGAGGGAGGACACGAGGAGGAAGGAAGGGCTGGAGAGTCCGACAGCTCCTCGGGCTATTTGTTTATGCTGGATAATTAATGAAGGCGAGCTCTGTCAGCTCAGTGTTGAGGGCACCAGGCTGGGGGAGCAGCTTCGCAGGTGAGAAGGCTCCGATCCATCTTCATCTGCAGGCGGTAATTGGAGGGCCTTGTCAGAGACTGGGAGGGGATTTATTGATGCAGTACGTAGGATTTGCAGAAACAGCTCTTTGAAGGACACGGTACTAAATCATTTCTTTTTCTTTTTTTTTTTTAGTTTTTCAGAATTTATAATCATTTGGGAAATTCACTTCCTTCTCCTGCCTTCAGCTTTCCTTTAATGATGTGAGTGGGAGGAGATGATCTCTTGCTAAAGAATATTTGGGCTGATATAATATACTTTGGCAGGATTTGAGATTCTGTCCCCCTTTCTCTCATTTGTTTTCTTTCCTTTTTAATTAATACTGTCCGTAGTGTAAGCATGACAATGTTGTGTGGTGAAAAAAATGGTTCTTCCTGTGAAAAAAAGGTCTCTTGGAAATAAAAAAACATGGAAAGTAAGTGTATCTTGCACAGCTCCCCAGTGGTACAGGAGGCTGTTCTCTGGTTTAGGGAGAAGCAAGGCCAAAGGATGCTGAATTGCCAGAGGAGATACATCTTTTTCTCTCTACATATATCCATTAAAAAAAGATCCTTTTTTTTCCCACGACTGGGTTTGCTCTACTACAGATTCGGATGATACAAATTTAGGCTGTGCCCTGCAGCTTTCTGTTTCCGTCTGTTCAGCCATCTCAGGGCTGTGTCTGTAATGAAAGATCAGCCGGTTTAATTTCCTCACGCCGTTCACCCTCCCGGCTCTGAGCTACCCCAGCTCCAGTTCAGCTCTTGGAAGTGCAGTTAAATCACCAGAACTTTTTCTTCTTTCCTGTTGTGCCACCACTCCTTTTTCTTTCGGTCCCTCAAGGGTTTGTTGATAGCACTTTGGAAATCAGATATTCAGTATAGCCCAACCTTCTGTACAGCTAAATGTCCCTTGCTGTTGTCACGGAAAAGCTTTACATTTAGCTAGAAGGGGAGCAATTCCCTTTGTTTATAACCATAGCGTAACGAATTGCAGCCAATTGAAAACCATGTTGGGCTGTGAATTTGTATTGTGACTAGGCAGGGGGACGTGTCCCGATGGGGATCCTCAGTTGTTCCCTGTACCCAGGCGTGAGGTTAGGGGTGTGAAGCTGCACTCGGGCTTGCTGCCTGCACGCCTGCGGGCTAAACGGGCAGGACAGCAAATGGAAAAATAAAGAAAGCCGCCGAGAGGTGGAGAAGTAAATATCTTTATCATCTGGATGGGAATTCAAATGGCAAGGGGCTGACCTCTGGCTTTGTGTTGGCTCTAATGATGAGTTCGGACAGTGCTACCTGCAGAGAACAGAGAGTCCAGTGAGATCCAGGCCGTTCGTACTTTTATCGTACCAGAATCTCCCTCCTCCTCTCCTTGGCACAGAATACGGTGGACTTGTTACTTCTCTGGAGGATAAAGTGTGTTTTACTTAAAACAAACCTTGCTCCAGCAAAATGGCAATTGTTCGTGAGTCTTTTTCTTTTGGGTCGTTCTTCTGCTCCAACCATTTCCAGGATACTGTGGTAGCTCCTTATTTCTGCTGAGGTATTTATACCTAGTTTAATCTGACAGCTCCCTGTGACACCCGAGCATGGGGAGCATGAGGAAAGAAGTGTTCTACGAAGCCCCTCCAGTCATTTACTGGTTTGTCTCTGGAATTATAAACTTTATAAATGACTGTCTTTATAAACCATGTAGATTGTCGCTTGTTAACAGGTACTTTGGTCTTACGGGCCTCTCGTATCAATTACTTGATATGTTCTTCTGCAGACCGTTTGCAGGAAGGATAACAGTGGAACAGTCTTTTTAGTAAAAGACGTGACCGGTTTTCTGCCCCATCAGACAAAGCTTCGTTTGCTTTCAGAGCAGCGCAGAGCCGCTGCCTCCCGCTCCCCCCGGCTGCCGTTGAGAGATTGAGGAGCTGCGGTGGGTTGAGCTGCCTTGTTAAGACCCTGTCTTTAACCATGTTCCTCTCCTTTCAGGAAGCTGTTGTGAGCACCTGGATTCAGTTCAGTGACAGCTCTGTTACTCCCCTGGACATTTACGACCCCAAGGACTTCTCCCTTTCTGCAGCGTCGTTAGACGAAGCTGTTGTCTCTGTCCAGCAGAACGCTGCCTTAAAGTGGCCGGTTGTGGCAGCAGAAGGGGAAGGTCAGGGCACGTTAATCAAGGTGGACATGATGATTTCTGAAGCCTGCCAGAAGTCCAAGAGGAAAAGTGTCCTGGCTGTGGGGAGCGGCAGCATCAGAGTCAAGTTTGGCCAGAATGATGCGGACTCCAATGCAGGTGGAGATTATGATGCCGATGAGATTGAAAACCATGCTAGCGACCGGCGGCACAAAGGGTCGGATCAGGAACGGTATGGCCAGGATGGACGATACTATGGTAGCTCTTCAGCAGAGCGAGAGGAAGGCGCCATCCGGAAAGTCAGCACCACGGCAAGATCCGTAATCAAAAACAAGGTCATTAAAAACAGTAGGCTGGATGGTGGGAAGCTGTCGGATGACAGCCAGCTGCAGAACATTCCCATAGACTTCACCAACTTCCCTGCTCAAGTGGACCTCCCAAAAGGCAACACGGGCTTGGAGGAAAATGACCTGGTGCAGACACCTCGGGGCCTTAGCGATTTGGAGATCGGAATGTATGCCCTGCTGGGGGTCTTCTGCCTGGCTATTCTAGTCTTCCTCATAAACTGTGCAACATTTGCACTCAGGTACCGTCACAAGCAGGTGCTGGTGGAAGGACAGGCCACCATGGCCCATTCCCATGACTGGGTCTGGCTGGGAAACGAGGCAGAACTGCTGGAGAACACAGCAGATGCATCGCCTCCGCAGGATGAGCATACGACTATTATCGACCGAGGCTCGGGTTGTGAGGAGAGCAACCAGCTCCTCAACGGCAGCACTCAGAAGAACGCCCAAAGCCAGGCTCACAGGTCTGCTGACTCAGGGGGCAAGCTCGGAAAGGAACCGAAATCGGAACCTCTACATTCGCCGACCTCTAAACGGAAGCGGGTAAAATTCACGACGTTCACTACCATCCCTCCCGACGATGGTTGTCCCACTGTCAACTCGATCCTGAGTAGCAATGACGATGACATTAAGTGGGTGTGCCAGGATATGGACCTGGGGGACTCCAAAGAGATACGAAACTACATGGAGAAGTTCAAGGACAAAGTGTAGCTCCTCGCTGGTTTTTTTGGGTTTAACCACACCTTGATGCCTTCAGTTCTACAGTATATATTGGGAGGGAAGAGGGGGAGGGGAAGGAGTCACCAGGAGAAATGGTGAGGCAGTTTTTATAATCAGGGAAAGAAATTTGCCAAACTGTCCATGGTTTGTTTCTGGTTTTCACTTTGTTTTGTTTGTCCAGTGGTTATTCTGCTACTCATGGATTTAGGAAGCAGAATATAAATAGCAGAAAGGAACAAGGGAATAGTATGAGCAGTATGATGAACTGGGCGAGATTAGGTTGTGAAAATCTGTTTATGGGTCATAGGAGTAACAATTACTGTAATGTTTCTAAGTACCAAAATTCCGTGTGAAAAGCAGAGAGAGAATATAGGAGCATGAGCAGAGCGAGCAGGAGACAGGCAAGAACTTGTCTGTATTTCTAATAAAACACCACCGTTTTGGACATACGACCCCCAAGGAGACGTCTCAGATTGTGGCTGAGGCGGTTTCGTTTTAGTCCTCCACTGAAGTGAAGGTGTGTCGCTGGCTTTATGCACGGAGGAGGGAGAATTTACCTGGTATTTTGAGTTTTACTTTTCTGTGTGTCTTGTAAGTTGAAACAGAATGATTTCCACTCTTGGATTTTTCTTTTAAATATCTTAAAAGCAGGAAAATATTCAATTCACTAAATTTGCAGTGGACCAAGGACATTTTGTGTCTAAGTTAGCTATAAACAATCTCCTGTCATCTAAAGAATTCATGGGACCGGTATTGACTAATCGTGTCCATGTGGGGTCTCCGAGCCTCCACCGGTTCACCCTCTAGAAATGTGTTCTCTGTTGAAGTATTCGTTTTGCTTCCAGGTTTGGGTTGTCCATTTAGTTGTTTGGTTTAAATTTCCACAACCAAAGCTGCCACGATTCACCGAGGGAAGAAGGTGCTGGGTGGCGTTGGGTTTTGGCAGCAGCAGCTGGTGGGGGTGCCCCACCGATGCGTGTAGGTACCTACATCTGGGACCGTCACAGGCCGGATAGGTACAGCCTGGGCCTGGGGGTTTGCCAAGTCCCTGAAATCACGATTTCATTCTGTATCTTCTGTTTATTCTGACATCACCAACTCCCATCAAGCTCCGAAAGCTCAAGTAAGAATGGGCAGGAAGACACTGATTGTCCCCAGATTTCTGTTTCCATGTCTGGGGGGGGTTGGCCCTGAGCAGGCTGCGGGGAGGGAGGGAGGCGCTGCTGAGCCAAAATCAAGAAATATCCAGAGCTATTTTATCGGTTCTTTTTGCCGTTGGACCAGCTAGGACTGAAAACTTTAGACTAGATCGTGAAGCTGATGTTGTGAATGGGAAATTGCAAAACCAGGAGTAAATCTGAGGCAAATACGAAGCGGAACCCTGGCGGAACTTCAGCTGACGGAGTGCGCAGATCAAAATCTGAACGGTGCGGGAACTGCTGTCTTCCAAACCCTTTTGTACCTGATGGTATGTCCAGCTCCTGGGAGAGCAGTGCATTGCCCTGATGTTAGCCAGAAGCTCTTGCACTGGCCTGTCCTTACCCATGTCTGTCTTTTTTTTATTACTAAACTCCGTAGTTCGGTTCTTTCACTTGGACAAAATCACTCCTGCCGCCCCGTAACATAGAAGGACGTTTAACAAGATATGCCTAGTATGCATTGTAGACTGAAAGAATGTAATATTTATTTATACGTTATATGAATCGTAATTAAAATGCTTTACATGGCTTGACAAATGAGCCTCTTTTCTGAGGGGAGGGGCTCCTATTCCGTGCTGGAGTGCTGCATCCCCTGCCCAACGGCTGGCACAACCCGCTCTCTGAAGGGAGGAGAACCGGGACACAGGGAAGTTTTTCGCTGCTCTGACCCTTCTGTGAACAGCTTCCCCCTCCCACCCAGCGTGGGGCCGGTGACGGATGGCAGGAGAAGACAGCAGCCAGGCACAGTTCACGGCAGTGCCACTATCCATCTTGTTCACCCTCGTGCCTACCGCCAGCACCACCCGCTCCCGGACTCGGATGCGCGCCGCCCAGTCATAATTAATGACGCTGCTTCTCTGATTGAGGCGGCAGGTTCAGAGGGAAGCCAGTGTCACTGAATCACAGCTGTCACGTACAAAGCACCCGGTATCCCAGAGGACCCCGAAGTATTTACCAGCAAAGCGCAGCGATGCATCCGCCACGCCTCGGGGGATCGGTGTATCTTCCTGGGAAAACACAGGTGGCTCTGGGGTGGAAAAGGCGCTTACAGCTGCAAAACGCAGCCGCAGAGAACAGAACCAATACCCCAGGGTAGCGCAGAATGTAACTGCTCCAAGTGCCTTTTCAAGGAGGCTGTTAATGTGCCGAGCTGCCTGTTGCAGCACGTGAAGGATGGCATCTCCAGGAACCCAGTGCTCCCCGGCACGTGGGGTGTGCTGGAACCGCTGGAGGAAGGGGTCAGCAGCACCACTCCTGGCACCCCAACTTTGCCCTGTGCTTTTGGCTGCTGAGCCGTCGTAGGATCAGAAGAGAACAGGGTGTCTCCGTCTGGTGTAAACAGTTGGGTACCGGGAGAAAGCCCTGTGCAGAGAATTCATCTCGCGTATTCCCGATGGCCCGTGCCTGTCCTGGTCCTGCTGTCTCACTGCGTCGGGTACAAGTGCCACACAGCGAAGGTGAGCGGCATTCCGGAGGCGCCTCCTCTCCAAACGCTTCTTTCAAAAAGAGAAACATGTTTTCTTTGAAATTAAAGGGGGGGAATCAAAGTTTCCCATGAGAAACTCTTTTGCGGTTCCTTTTCAAAAACAGGGATGTGAGTTTTTGTTGAAAGACACCCTCTGTACTGATGTAACTCGGATGGGATTCGGTTTAAACTGTCAGAGAGAGGTTGGGATTGGACATCAGGAAGGAATTCTCCCTGGAGAGGGTGGGGAGCACTGGGACAGGTTGCCCAGAGAAGCTGTGGATGCCCCATCCCTGGGAGTGTCCCAGGCCAGGCTGGATGAGGCTTGGAGCAGCCTGGGCTAGTGGAGGGTGTCCCTGCCTCGATGTAGCAGGTGCGAGACGTCCCTGGCTGCTCTGCCACGCGTAGAACTGAACCTGTGTGCTTCCCAGGCTGGGGGGTTTGCCCCTGTCATGGAAATGGGGAGAGACAAGGCTAGCAGGAGTGCTCAGAGGCCTGGTGGGATGGGGGTGACGCCTGCTCCCCTCCTTGGCAGTGGGAATTGCATGTCCTGGTACCTCCTCCACTAACTCCTGCCCACCCGGTGCTTTGGGATGTTGCTCCAGACAGAGCAGGGAGAGCCCCTCCTGCTCGCAGCATCCCACCCGGGCTGGGGAAACCGCACTCTTCCTGGGAATCTCGGCACTGGGCTGCTCTGCACTTTGTAGGTCTTAATCCCAGAGGAAGCTGAGAAGAGGCGGTTGATTCCGAGTCCTGTTGCTCGTGGCCAAGCAGGAGCCTGTCTTCAAAACGGCGTGGTCTGTGCAAAGGAAGAGGGTCGGTGTTTGAAGAGGCAACCGAGGGAACCAACGAAGGGGAGAACTCAGCCCTGCCTTCGCGTTGAATTCTCCTGGAGCCACAGGACATGGTGCT